GCAGATACTATTGCATTATTGAACTTTTGCAAATAACCGTTCTGCCACAAAATAAGAATGTTCATAAATATTTTCCAATTGCAAAGGGGTCAGGAAGGAAAAAAAGTTTGTTTCAATTTAAAAAAATATTTTTTTTAAAACAAATTGCTGAACTTATCAACCACTAAAAATTAAACCAAAATTCTTAATTCTGGAAGACAAAGGATAGAAGAAAATCAGGAATGTTTTAGAAAAGTCATAGAATTCTATTTCACCAGTTCAGTCTCATGTAATATTTCTTTTGTTGAATTTGCAGTGTTACTGTGGTCTGACCTTTCTGTTAACATTTAACATTATTATTGCTATTTCAGAATGTGTCCCTACCATTAAATTGGCCTTTTTCTTGGTTATTTTTTGTTCTATTATTTGCCTGTCTCTCTTAAGTTTGGTGGTTGCTTTCTAAAACTCCTGAGAGTGCTTCAAGACTACTTGGACAAGTGACAGTCTATGATAACTGTGACTTTCTGAGTATTTAAAGAGTTTATATTTCCAAGATGCACTGCAATCTTTCAGGCTTACAACATGTGAGTCCTTTCTGTGCCAATTGGCAGGACTCAAGATATTCCATATTTCTACAAATGTATACCCACCTACTGTAACAATGTTTTGATATGTTGTAAAGAATGACTTTTTTTCTTTTCAGTTTTGATATAGGAAACAGAGAGAGAAAGACAGAGAGAGAGTGAGAAATCCCCTCCCACCACCTACTCCTCAGGGGGAATGGCCATGCTACAATCCCTTCTCTAGTCTCTTCTCAGGATTTTGGACATGTACACACACATGCTTGACACTTTTAGTTTTTAAGAGAGGTTTTAATTCTATAGGTATGTGCACTAGCTGGAGACAGAGAGACAGAAAGTGAGAAATCACCACCCAGGGTGATTGCAATCCCTTCTCTTCCATTTTCCCTCAGGATTTTTGGCACAGAGCACTGTGCCCAGTATGAGTTACTTTTTCTTTTTAATAATCATTTTATTTAATGTTTTATTAATTATGAGTATATTTTAATATTTCCAGAGACACACACACACACACACACACACACACACAGAGAGAGAGAGAAAGTGAGTAAGCAAGCCTCCAGGTCTGGGACTCCAACCATGTTCGGCCATGTGCCCTTAACTACCTTGCCACCTGCCAACCCCCTCAGTGTGAGTTTCCAGCCACCAAGTCCAGGACTCAAAGGGCAGTCAACCTTAAGGGAGTCCACAGCGAGGACTCAAAGGGCAGTCAACCTTAAGGGAGTTCAAAGTGTTAACCACCAGTCCACCTGCTGGCCCCAAATAAATAATTCTTTAAAAAAATTATTAATTTATTCTCTTCTATGAGTGAGAGACAGAGAGAAAGAGACAGCACCCTCAACAGGGTCCTGACACTGCAATCCTCTCCCCTGCCTTAACCAGCTTCAGATCATGGGCATGTACAGGCCGGCTGTACTCAGCGAGGTCCCCAGACAGAAACCTGTAACTTTCTCATGTGAGGGAGTCTCACAGAACACTGTTCTTTACTGCCACGTGACCTTCCAGCATCAAGAATTAGTTTTTATTTTATGTTAGTTTTGCTTATTTATATATTTTTAAAATTATTAATTTAATTTTATTTATGACGATTATTTTAAAAATTTTCTTATAGGAAATTTGTGCTTATCAGAGAGCAAGAGAGAGAGACAAGAGAGAGAAGACAAGCACCAGGTCGAGGACTCGAATCATAGTCAGCCATGTGGGAGTCCAGGCCTTAACCACTGTTCCACCTGCTGGCTCTAAGAATTACTTCTTGTGCAATGGCTTTTATCTTGTACTAAAAGGAGCCTCAGCTTGGCTTTTGTAGATTACTACACAACACAATAGTTTCTAAGGAAATTATAATTTTCCACGTGTCAGATTAAATGTGATAGTCTCCCAGTTACAATGAACAACTGCTAATGGTACCAAATTATCGTTGTCTGAGGGCACAGTTTCTTCTCAAATCCTGTGGTAATAGCAACTTCTACTCTCGATGTCCCTGAAATTTTAAGCTTTTGATATTACAGGAATATATTTCCCCAAATTAAGTGAGATATTGTTTCTGTACTATTCTGAGATGTTCAAAGTTGTACTACATTATGCTGAGAAATATGGAATTCTAATTTAGAGCAATAGAATAGATTTAAGAATTTGAGATGACTTATCTGTAACAAGAAGGAGAAGCACAGGAGTGAAAAGTGCCCTTCAGAAGACAAATGCTGAACTGTACACTGAAACATGATAAAATTTGTTATGTATAGTTTACTATAAAGAGTCAGCCAGAAAACAGAAAATAGTAGATACAAATTTTGATATTTCCAGAGAAGATAACAGCGATGAGGGGAATTTGTGAAGGAGCTAGAATTGTATACTACATAGTAGCTGCCTGAAAATATTAAAATGCTGTATTCACGAAAGAGAATCACCTTATTGATACACATATTCATGAATTAATGTATTGTTGATAAAATTAATTTTACTGTAAGGGTTTTTATTACCTTCAGTAATTGAATGAGGAATATGACCTAAAGGCTGAGTTTCTGGGATTTGGAATCACATTAACTTGGTTCAGTCTTGACTGTACCATTACTAGCCTTGTATCCTTATGCAAGTGGTTTAATCCCCATCACTGTACTCTCTCCAGTTGTGGAATGTGAAGTGGATATAAGAAATAAGAATATATTCTATACAAGGTCTTTGAGACAATTCTGAGTACAAAGTAAAATGCTCAAAAGTCACTCAGTAAATTTTAGTGGTAATTTTTGTAGAATTTTTTCTGGCAGTGTCATTAAAAATATTACTTATGTGCAAAATAACTACTTATTATACCTGTGGTGCAATGTGAATTAATGCAGACTTTTAGATGTCTAGGTGTCCTTTAAAATCCACCCTGAATCTGGGGACCAGCAGATGGCATAGTGGTTATATCACTGGACTCCCACATAGCCAACTGCACCTCAAGTCCCGGACCTGGTATCTTTAAACTCACGGCTGACATATGTGTGTGCACGCTCAAAATCCCAAGAGGAGAATGGAGGAGAAGGGATTGCATCAGGGCCATCCCCCCTTGGGAGTGATTTCTCACTTTCTGTCTCTCTGTCTTTCTCTGATGAGCACAAGTACCCTGTAGCAAAAATCCCTCTCTTAAAATAAATCCATTGTGAATCTGAAACATTAAATGTATGTTAATATAATTTACAATAATCACCTAAAAGTACAATGCTATGATTGCATGAAATCAAGTAATCTATAGTTTTTCTTTCTCTTCTTTTTAGTGTTCTATTTCCTAAACATTGTATTCCTGAACTTAATGTACTCAATAGAAAAGCCTTCTTATGGGGCTGGCAGGTGTCATGGTGGTCAAGGGCGCTGGACTCCCACATGGCCAACTGTGGCTTGATTCCTAGATCTGGCAGCTTGCTTTCTCACTTTCCCTCTCTTCTTCTCTCTCTCTGTTGCTCTCTGGCCAAATTAAAATAAATAAATAAAGTTAAATAAAATAATTCTTTTAAAAATAAGAAAAAACTTCTTTTATGTTTCCTTAAGATGAAGCAGAAAAAGAGAATAATAAAGAAACATATATTAAATAAAATGAGGAAGTTATAATGGGAACCAAGATTATGGGCTTGAACAGTTTGCACATAAAATAATGGTTTTCTTGAAATACAGTTGTGTCAAAAGCTATGGGCTTGAACAGTTTGCACATAAAATAAAAGTTTTCCTGAAATACAGTTGTGCCAAAAGATGATTTTGAGTTCTATCTATTTTAATCTGACAGCTCCCCACATATTTAGATTTGAACAGCTGGATTTATTCTATTGTGAGATTACATACTATATACAAGTACCTTCATGACCCTTCATTCCACACAGATTCCTCCTTTAGACCCTTACCTGTGTGCGTGCTGGAGATGCCACTACAGAGACAATAGCATTAGGAAATACACTTAAAACCTTTTTTGCTCAGTTTAAATGAATATTTTTATTCTTTTTTTTGGAGAGTGTTTTTTTCCCTATAGGGCGTGTGTGCTTGCCAGAAAGACAAAGAGAGAAAGAGAGACAGAAAGCGAGAAATCACCCACCAGGGGGATGGCCGCGCCTCAATCCCTTCTCCTCCATTCTCCTCTCAGGATCTTCGGCACACATGCACACGTGCCTGGCATGAGTTTAAGCTGCCGGGTCCAGGACTCAAACTGCGGTTCACTATATGTGAGTCCAGTGACATAGCCATTACGGTAACTGCTGGTCCCTAGTTTAAATTATTTTCGAACTCTCAATTTCCCTTACTTTATGAGACACATCCTGCTTGATAAAGGCACAGGTTATGCTTCCTTTCAATAGCTACAATCCTGTCATATCAGGAGTGCTGCTCCTTAAAGTTTCCACAACATTTTAGCCAATACTTATATTAAAATAGCCAACAGGTCACAGTGGCTTCATACTACTGTTAGGGGATAAGTAACAATCCTTAATTAAGGAGAAATGAAGACCAATTAAAGGTCTCCTATGGCAATCATCTTCCTCTCATTCCTTTTTACTCTTTAACAGACACACACACACACACACACACACACACACACACACATGCTCATTCCTTTTTACTCTTTGATACACACACACACACACACACACACACACACATGCCTCCTAATAGTTCTGTCAATGAGAGATGAATAAATACTATCATAAAGCTCAAATTTGTGTCTACGTCAATTACCAGCACAGAATTGGCTCAAATAGGAGCCAACTTAAAGCATTTTATATACAACTTGAGTAAGTCTTTAAGGTATTACATTTAAACAATGCTCGTAAAGAAGGCAAATACTATTTCAGAATACTTTCATACTGAATCTCTGACCGGCAACTGATGATGCTGTCCATCTCTCATGCTGATTGGTTCCCACTTCTGACCCACTCCAAGAACAAAGGAAAAAATACTTTGGTCTATTTGGGATGAGGGAGAAGCAGGGTCATAGTTCTCTCTGAGTGAGACTTTTCTGCTTCTCACACCTGGTCCTCTCTTTTTCTGCAACATGTCATGTCTGTGGCTCCCTGGAGTCACCTGGATGGCAGCTCTGAAAGTGACAGTGACGGTGCTGAGCCATCACCTGACTTTAGCCAGGGACACTAGACGTAAGTGTGTGCACCCTGGGTGCTGAGCTGTTTGGGGGCAGGGGAGAAAGGAAGTTAACTTTTCCACTAGGTCCAGGCAATCTTTTCTTCAGCGACCACCTATATTTATCAAGTGAAGCTTAAATTATTTCCATAATGAAAGGGACCTGTATCTTGAGAGCCCGTCTCCTGTGAGACCTGTGTAAGGGCCTCCACCTGGGCCACTTCTCAAACCTCCTTCAGTAACACCTCCCCAGCTTTGTAGCACATTCCTTTATGGTCTGGAGAGGGTTTAGAAATAATGATGTTAAAGTAATTCCCCACCCAGCACTTTCCTTTAATATGCTGAGTTATGCTAGAAAAGGGGAAAGTATGTCTGGTCATTTTATAGACAGTCAAAAAAAAAAATAGAAGAGCCTTTCCTACAAGATCCTGGCATATCCTCAGCAGGCTCTGTGGTAATGGTGCCTCTCCCTACTATGTGAGGCTGTATCAACAGACCTTGCCCACTAGCTACTTTTTATTCACCTTGAACTTTAAAGTTTTTAAAATTTGCATCCTTACACTAGAGGGTTTTCTGCTTTGTTTTGACAGAATTTAAGTTGGTGCTCTTCCTTTCATTGTTTTAAGGAAAGTACTCTGAATCTAAAGTAGAGCACCTTAATACTTAGAATAAACCTACAGATAAGGAGCATCTTTGGGGTAATTTTTAGTGCCTTAAAAAAACTTAAGGCATCTTCTGAAAACCTGGTATTGGATAGTGCTCATCATGAATATATTTTGAAGCTTTCTGTATTGTCATTTTCCCCTACGTCCCTTATTGTATCTGGCTAGAGCCCATAAGGAGGATTCAACTAATGTAAGATAAAGGTATGGGGCGTGGTGGCGCCTGCCCTATGGTAAATGGCTTTAGTGCCTTAAAAAAACTTAAGGCATCTTCTGAAAACCTGGTATTGGATAGTGCTCATCATGAATATATTTTGAAGCTTTCTGTATTGTCATTTTCCCCTACGTCCCTTATTGTATCTGGCTAGAGCCCATAAGGAGGATTCAACTAATGTAAGATAAAGGTATGGGGCGTGGTGGCGCCCGCCCTATGGTAAATGGTATGAAAGTCCATTTGTATAGGACAAAAATAATCCAGCAGGACCAGCCCCATAGCCTAGAGGTTAAGGGAAGCAGGATTCCACATGGCCAACCCCAGTTCAACACTTGATTGAACCTGACAGCCTGAAACACATGCCATGCTTGTGTGTGTACATGCAAGTCTAAATCTCAACATGATGGAGAAATGGAGTAGACAGGTTTGTGGTTGGGGTCTGGGATTGTGTTAGAGTGGTGCCTTTTCTCTTTCCTCCCTCTCTGTCTCTCTGTAGCTCTCTGGTGAATGCATGTGCCCTATGGCAGTTAAAATATAGTCAGATATGAGCATTTTCATGTGGTTTAAATGGTACACCCTGAAGAGTGTAGAGGTATTAATATCTCCTAGGGCTGAATGTCAGTAAACAAGTCAATGGAACTCAGCATCCTACTGGAGTCTTGTCCCAAATCTCATGAGTTTATTCATCCTGTCTTCTGTTTTCCTTCATTATTTGTTTAGTTACCACAGTTTCTAGCTTTGTTCCTTCTCCTGCTACCATCACCACTACTGAAAATCCCCGAAGTTTGCAGAAACCCTCAGCACTAAAAGAAATTCATCAGGAGAGATGAAACAATAAAAATTTTCTTCTTTCTTAAAATCACATTTCTGTTACCTGTGAATACTTCTAACCATTGTAGAAAGATGAGGAAGAGAACGTTTGTCTGAATTTCTCATACGGAGTGGAGGCACGTGATGTGTTGCAGTGTAAATGAGCTTTGGAGCTTGGGTCCCTCTTACTTGCAGGATCCCACAGTGATCAGTGCCCAGAGATGACTTGCAGCTGAGAAATAAGTGATGAGATGACAGCTGTGTGAGGATCCAAGGGACAGTTATGCCCAGGAGGCAGGAGAGGGGAAAGGATAAAATGTGGGGAATCGAGCTGTTTAAAAGACATTTAAAGAACGCCACAGTGGCTGAAGAGTAGTGAGTAGGGGGCATTAGAGGCATGGGAGTTCATAGTTTCACGAGGCGCTCAGGAGCCTAATCACAGCAGGCCTGGAAGGTGATGGTAAGGTATTTGAATTTCATTTAACAGATGTGGGAAGCTACTGGAAGGTGACGAGAGAGTCAACTTATATTCACCTTTAAAAAGTTATTCTGACTCCTATGTGGAGATTGGATTGTAGAGTTAATAAGTGGAATTGAGAGACCATTTAGAAGCATAGAATTCTCTAGAGAAGACAAGCTTGTGGCTTCACTTAGTCCAATAGTGTTAAAGACAGAGATGAAGGTAGAGTGAACAAATTGCAACATCATATTTTTGACTTGTGAGTGAGTTGAATATTGGGAGAAGATAAAAAACAATTCATGTTAGCAAGAATTTTGTCTTGATACATAGGTGGAAGTTGGTACTGTTAATTGAAATAGGAAAGACTGCGAGAGGAAATGACTTTAGTGGATGGCTAGAAATAATGGTTTTGTTTAACTATGCTTGAAATAGTTTTTGACATCCATGTGGTTCTGTCAAGAGGTCAGTTGACTGACCTAGAGTCAGGGTGAGATGGGACTGGAGCTTTTGTTTTCATCACTGGCATAGGTACTGTATGAAATTCTGGGGAAATGGAAAAGGTTAGATAGGGAGTCAGATTATGTGTTGGAAAAGAAAAGAAAAGAAAAGAAAGAAAAGAAAAGAAAAGAAAAGAAAAGAAAAGAAAAGAAAAGAAAAGAAAAGAAAAGAAAAGGGCACGGACCAAGCCCAGGAGTCTGGGCCAGCATGGGAGTGTGCGGTGAGTACCCAAGAGTGAGATCATGGCAGAGAAGCAAGCTCTGAGTCTAGTGGACGTGACGCTTGCAGTACGTGGAGTACCCATACAGAACCTACCAGACTGCTTGAGCAGTCCAGTTGACTTTGGAGCAGCTGGGCTGGGGAAGGATTGTGCTGTGGAACCAGGGATCCAGCTGGACCTAAAGAAGAGGAATAGGAGCCTGAAGAGAACCAGGAGGACTTTGCTTATTAGGAAGAAAATGCTGGAGGGTCTTTGTATGCACTAGTGATGGTGAGGCAAAAAGACATTAATCCATTCAACTCCTATCTATTAGTGATGTAGAACACACCAGTGATTGATTACCCTAGGTGATGAGAATGGAGTGGTGACAAAACACTCTTGTTCTCTATTAGTTTAGAGCACTGTACCATTTTTCAGCATCTACAATCTAGGTCTAGAAATTTCAGTGTGTAAAAACTACCCTATCATTTCTGTAATATTTAGAAACATATACGGATGTAATCTACACTGAACTGGTATAAATAATCTTCTAGTGCCATATAGTTCCTGCTAGAATGGTATGAAGTAGAGGGTACAAAAAGCCCAACTGTTCTTTGTCAGCATACTCCTTTTGTGTTAGGTGTATCTGCTAAATGTATACTAACAGAGTACATACATATTTTTTTTACATATTTTTGAGTATATCTGTATTCTGTTAATGGTCATAAACCAATGTTTGTGCCCTTATATTTTCAAAATGGTAATTAGTGATAAAATTAATAGAAGACAATTGCCAAATTATGATAAAATATTATTTGCTTTTTAAGCAAGTCTTTCCTCAGAAATAGTTTAAATAATTTCCTTGTGTCACATAGTTCCTGCTAGAATGGTATAAAGAAGAGGATACAAAATGCCCGTCTAGTCTTTGTCAGCATACTCTTTTTGTGTTAGGCGTATCTGTCAAACGTATACTAACAGAGTGCATACGTATTTATGTACATATTTTTTGGTATAAATGTATTCTGTTAGTGTGCATAAACCAATGTTTGTGCCCTTATATTTTCAAAATGGTAATTACTATGTGGGAGTCCAGCGACAGAGCCATTATGCTAACTGCTGGTTCCCTAGAATTTTTTTTTTCAGAGAGATTTTTGCTATAGGGTGTCAGAGAGACAGAGAGAAACAAAGAAACAGAAAGTTAAAAATCACCACCCCATGGGGAATGGCCACACAACAAAGCCTTCTCCTTCAGTTTCCTCTCAGGATTTTGGGCACGCACACACACGCCTGGTGTGAGTTTGAAGCTGCTGGGTCAGGGACTAAAACTGCAGTCGACCACGTGGGAGTCCAGTGACCAAATCTTTACGCCATCTGCTGGTCCCTATTTGCTTTAGGATTTAAGAAAATGAAAGCTATTGTGGCCCGTGGCACAGGGATTACAAAAATTAAAATGGTAGTGTACCTGAGTTTTTAATTACACGATTAGCACTGAGAAAAGTCACTTCTTAATTTTTAGGCTATCAATAATCCTGTGAGGAATATGCCAGTATTAAACTTATTTTGTAGATAAAGAAAAAAGGCTCATGGATGTTAAACACTGATCCACATAGGAGAGGTTGTCTTTAAAATCAGATTTTTGGTTTCTAGACCTGGAACATCTAAGTACCTTTAGTAAACAGCGACTAGATTGATTCTGAACTGTTGATGAAATCCCTTATGTTCATACATATCGGAGTATGTCTCAGAGTGGGAGGAAGAATACAAGAGCAGGTAGTTCCAATATATAGGAAATTTTCGAATGTATTTTCCTACCTGAGACGTTGCACATGGGCTCACTCTGTGCAGGCCATCATGAGCAAGCATTGAGCACAAACAAGTATGAAGTCCACTCCTGAGATTTTATTAGCAAGTTGGGCTAATGTTGATAAATAAAATACAGACTACCCCTTAAATCTAAATTTCAGATAAGTCATAATAATTATTTAAAACTCAAAGTTAACTGGATATTGTCATTTTATTTGCTCAATCTGGCAACCCTAAATTGAGCACATGGGTGTGGACTATGGTGTGACATTCAATCTACAGTGAAAGCAACTTCACACATTTTATTTTTTTTACTTTCTCATCTATGAAGAAGGCCCTTAGAGAATTGCTAATACTAAGATAGACCTTGTCTCATCCAGAGGGCTTTCCTCTCTGTTGTAATTTCTAAGGGACAAAGGGGGCAGGGTTTGTGCACCTGTAATGAGATCATAGTTTAAACTTTGAAAAAATTCATTGATTGCTTCCCATTGCGTTTCGTATAAATCTAAATCCAGGCTTTTAAGTTCCTGGCTACTTGTGATTTCTCCACTCTAATCTTGACCTTTCTCCCTCTCACTCTCTAAGCTTTAGTGAACTCTTTTTTACCCCTGGTTTCTTAAAGCTCAACTCTTTCAGATTTCACACATGTCATGAGTTGACGTGCCTCCCTTTCTGTCCAAGCGTACATACTCACTGCACTCTGCCCCTCAGCCCACGTCAACCTCACCTTTTACACCTCCTAAATGTCACAGTTCAGCATCCCTCTCTGGCACCCTAAGGTAATTCAGGCCATTCTACCGTTAATTCTCTGGTATAGAAGGCTTCTCTTTTGACAGTTCTCATTCCAGTGTAAACTCCTGTGTGCTTTCTGTCCAGTTTACTAGACTTTAAGCTCCACAGGGGAGGGCTGATGTCTGTTTTCACAGGCCTGCACCAAGTCAGCACTAAGGAAGTATTTACAGAAAGAAAGAGGTGAGGAGTGTGAGAATGAGAGGGAGGCAGTGAATGTCTTTCCGTGGAGGCTTCCAGGAGGAGGTGACGGAGGCGGGTGATGGAGCAAATCCTGGTCCAGCTTGGTCTTAGAATCTGCAGCCACTCAGGAAGTGGGTGTGGGTACCCAGCAGCTCCATGTTCAAGGGATCTTCCTGCCCAAGCAGCCTCCTCCCTGTGTCAGAGGAAAGATGACCCCAGGGGCACTGGAAACCGGGCTGTGGGGGGTAGGGGAGCCCATCAGGGCCGTCCTGGTGCCATCAGGGACCTCGGTTGTGCGTGTCCTCCCAAGGCCACCGCGTGACGCTGTCATTCCTGTCCCTACAGCGCGTTTCCTGGAGCAGCAGAAGGGTGAGTGTTCTTTTTCCAACGGGACGGAGCAGGTGCAGTATGTGGCCAGATACGTCTATAACCGGGAGGAGTACGTGCGATTCGACAGCGACGTGGGGCAGCACCAGGCGGTGACCGAGCTCGGGAGGGAGGTCGCCGAGTACTACAACAGCCAGAAGGAGATCCTGGACAAGATGCGGACCCAGGTGGACACGGTGTGCAGACACAACTACAGGGTGGGCAGGAGCTTCACTGTGCAGCGACGAGGTGAGAGGGCCAAGGGCAGGCGGTGTCTGCGGGAGGGGGGAGGGAGAGAGAGAGACAGAGACAGAAACAGAGAGAGACGAAGTCCGGGATGAGCGCGGAGTGCGAGCTACTCGAGTAGTTGAGGTGTGAGCGTGGGTTTCCGAGATCAGTGCGGATCTTGTCCTTGTGCGGATGCTGAGAGAGGGAACGCCAGAGCGACCCTCCTCAGGCAGAGGGTGGGCTACCCGCCTCGGGGAAAACACCTGAGGTGGGAGAGGGCTGGGGCTGATCAGAGATGCAGGAAGGGAATTTTATGTGTCTGTAGCTGGGGTGAAGGGTTTGGGATAAAGTGAAGAGGTCAGTTAGTCATGCACCGTCCTTGGCACACACCCTTCATGGTCCTAAAACCTCTACAGTCTAAGTGCTGGGGCTGGCCAGCAGGGGGTGCTGTGGTGAAGGTGCTGGATCCCACGGGGTCCTCCTAGAGTTCGAATCTCACACCTGGCAGCCTGAAAACCATGCTA